TATTAAAGAGAAATTAGATAGTGACCTTATCACTACTTCCTACGTCCCATTTGGACTTTAGTTAGTAGATTTGTTACAAAAGGTCTTCCCACCGAGTGATTTTATGATCTCAGATGCAAGCTAGAAATGACAGATATCCCTTTCACCAACTTGAGAAGTGTTGTTAGTTGGATATTAAATGCAGTACAAAAAATTTGTTGGTAGCATGTTAAATTACTAGAAGTTGTTAGAAGAGTCTAGAGATCTCTTGTAATTATTACTTTAGGGTTTGAGTTCTCTATATATAGAAGTGAATATCCTGTTTTGAATCAATTGAATAAAAATCTTCATTCTTTTATATTATTTCTTTCAAGTATAGATATCCATTACCAGTTTCAGGGGGAGTTTTGTTAGTAGGATATTAGGTTTATTGTTAGAAGTTGTTAGAAGATTCTAAAGATTTCTTTGTAACCAATACTATAGGGTTACAATCATCTATATATAGAGGGTGATGTATTGTTTCAAATTAATCAATTACATATAATCTCCTCTTATTCAGATTAATCCTTTTCAAGTGGCCCTACAACGGCTAGATGTCAATATAGATCCCTAAATGTTATGCTTCAAGATGAGATATATATGTCTCACCCCTCTGGCTTTGTAATGATTAGTCCTTGGTATTCAAATTAAAGAAGGCAATTTATGGTCTCAAATGGACTCCTATAGCCTAGTTTGACATACTGGAATCCACTGTTACAGTTTTAATTTAAGGCTACAAATTTGCCATTCTCTTTGTTTGTCTATTCACAGTCCTGCATTGGTCCTCATCTTTGTCTATGGGAATGATATAATTGTCACTACAACAATTATTTGCTGATTCAGTCTTCCTGCTGTACTCTCTTGCACCCTGTTTGGATAGTCATCAAAATATAAAAGAAATAGGAAATGGTAGAAATTGGGATGAATTGAAGTGGAATTTTAAAGCTGTTTCGTTAAATGGAATTAAGACGAGAAGAATTATTTCTTTTTAGTTGTTTAATTAGATTGAAAAATGAAAGGAAAAAATTAGTTGTGTGGTGTACTTAGTGTGGTTTTACTTTCAGGTTCTTTGTAAGGATATAAATAGTGAAACCTTAACTCAGTTCATTTTTCAGCATTTATAAAAATTTCTATTATCTTGATACCTTAACTCAGTTCACTTTTCAGCATTTATAACATTTTCTTTAACTCTCAGCTCTATTATCACTTGACAGCGAATACATAGCTGTAAAGTTTGGATCACCCTAATGAGTTTCTGTACCAAACAGATTATGAAAAGTGAAAGACAGATGGGTGTGGAAGACATTCACTGCGTATCACCAAAGTGAGGAACAAACCAAAATCTATTAAGAGAAAAAAAATAGATACAAGAATGGAATTATTAAATGAAAAAAAAAAAAGACCACTCAAGACAAGTATTCTAGATACTTACGGAGAAAACTTCCCATCAACCAACTTAAAGCGTCCAATTTCATACGTTCGAATTGGTATGCCCTCCCATATCTGGAAAAATAATATACCAGAAAAGCATAAATTAAAGTATTGCAAAGAATGTTTAAACCTTGAGATTTTTAAGGACCCAAAATAAAAGAAGCTTACATCCCAAACAATGGTTCGTCCATCATATCCAGCACTCATAGCTATTCGAGGGTTGAAAGGGTGAACATCCAAAACATAAGACTGCCAACCATTAAAGAATCACAATTTAGTCATGATATGACTGTAAAAATTCAAATCAAGAAAGAAAAAAATAAGAGGCTATAACTTAACCCAATAAGAAAAGTATGAGAAAATTTTAACTTTTAGTCCAACAAATAAAAGTTAAGCATGTTTACCAATGGAGAAAAATTAGCCCCACACAAAATACAGAAAGGATGGGGGTAGAGAAAGATAGATGACAGATTTTGCAGATTCTCAACCAAAAAAAAAGAATTAGGTCTTACTGATTCAGTATGACCAGTCAAAGAGTGCACTAAGCTTCCATCAACTGCATTCCAAACACAGATTCTGCAATCTTCAAGAAGAGAAGACAAGTACTCAGTTAAAGCAAGCAACAACCTTCTCTCCACATCAAATAACATAAGATTGATTATCTATACAAGAGAAGGGAAGGGATCACAAAGTTGTGAATGTATGCTATGTCAAATGAATAAAATTATCATGGCAATTATCAATCAATGTGATTGGATAATATTGCAAAAAAAAGGAGTTCTACGTTGGTTAAGAATGAGAGCAGCAAGGGGGGTATCACATAAGCAAAAGATGTACAAGTACAAATTGCCTGATGGGGATAATAAAATATCAATTGCATAGTAAACCAAGGAACATATAGATAGTATATAATGCTTAGTGATATATGAAACAATAGCAAGCATATTCTCTACCCCACAATCCACATGGGATAAAAAAATCAATTGTGACACTAAACTGATAATCTCTACGCCATGTGGTGATTATAAAATATCAATTGCATGTGAAACCAACATACATCTTGAGGCAATATAATGCTTAGTGATATATGTAAAAGCAGCAAGCAGTAGTACACAGTAGTGGCAAGTAGAAAATTATGTATGCTCTGTGGCAGATTTGTTTATAAGAAAATCCAATTAGACAACTTGGATCCTTTACATATTCCAGCTACTGTTCGGACCTCGAGTTTGTTGCACTGATAGAATACTCGAAATATCCAATATAGTTTCCACTTTAATGCTTGTCTAGGCCTCAATTACCATGAGGCTTAAACTCACAACCACAAAGGGTTTGAGCCCCACAGTGAGCACCAAAGACACTTTTTAAGAACAAAATCATAAAGCAACAATCTCTCAAATGTAGTGAGTCTAACAATATAGTGTACTTGAGGCCAGAAAAGTTCTATATTATGTAACTGTAGTTAGTTATCATATCAAAGAGTTAGTATTTAAAACAACAGATCTGCAACAAAGTGAATTGATTGTGATTGACCATGATTTGCATACAAGGTGCTACCAGTTTAATATACTTAAGTATACAAAAAATGTATAATTTGCAGGTTAAAATTTCCCTGCTACAGTATTTCTTTTAGCAAGTACATTACCCATAATAGCTGCAAGCACAAAGCGATTGTCCAGACTCCATATAATCATATTAACACCACGAGGAGTAGGTAGCAATCTCTGCCTTGGACCACCTCGTGGAGGTTGGGGAGGCAGCGGTGGTGGTGGCACTTTTAGATGATATGCACGAGTCCAACGTCCTACTTTTCCCTGAAACAGAAGAGGAAAACATATTTAACATGGAAAGCAAAGGGGGAAATGAACCTACTCATGCAACATAGATCCCCAAAACAATTCTGGAAAAGAAAATGTCTTCAAGAATAAAAATAGACCAAAATTCAATGGTAATCCAATTAAAGGAGCTCACATGAGATTTCCGTGATCTGGGAACCCATATAATTGCACTTCCATCACGAGAGCAGGTAACTATGTTATCATGACAATACCTGAAATATCATGACATAGGTATGCAACATATATTTAGTAATGAGAGAAGGGGAGTTGTTACATTAAATGAAACTAACCAGGGTAGAAAAAATTATAGCAAGCGCTAGCATATACCAGAAATTTCGAAACTTCAGTGTATTTTCTTCTTTCCAGGGGTCAGATGTTAAAATTTTTGAAGCCACAGAGCAACCACTGCATGCAGAATAGCAAAGATAATAAGGATCATTACAAAGCAAAACAAACAACCATAGATCTAGCTGGGATGGCTAACCTAAACTGTACATAATTAACATCATTTTCGTGACCAGATAATAAATCCATCTCATGTATTGGTTGTTCTGAGTCATCAGTGCTGGGCTTCATCGCACTCCACACCTGCAAATTGCAGTAATTTTCAACATAGCATAGAAGCGATATTAAATAAGCTAATAGTATTCCTGAGAGAAAATAGGAAATTTGTGAAGAGCACACCAATAAACCTACCCTGGCAAAAGTATCAGAGCTACCAGTAACAAAAACAGTTCCATTAGCATTATATGCACAACAAAGTACTTGATAGCTTTGTTGACCATTGCTTGAGGATGGCAAACTAGCTGGTGGAGCATTGCTCTTCCCTGAAAAAGTTTATAATTCCTCAATAAATAATAACCTAATAACAAAAAAGTAATTATTTCAGTCAGCAGGTCAGACTACTGATCTGGAAGGTTTAAGTAACAAGTCATCCATTTGACCTAAACTCGCATAGTTTGACTTGAACAAGATTTGATAATTCCATCCATTATTCCAAGTGTAGTGTTTATTTAAACAAACGTGTTGAAATATAAAAAGATCTTTTTTTATTTTTATATTGGATTTAGATTATAATAGAATATAACTTATCCAACTTAAAAACTGAATAGATTGTACCACCATATCAAATTTAATATGGTAAAAAATGCAAAACTCAGCCACTTCCAATTCCATGCCTGTTCTGTTAACAGAAATATAAGCAATTAACTGACCATTTATAGCATCTGGAGGCCGAGGCACATATATTCGGGGATTGTGTGAGTTCCTTGCATCCCATATTCTACAAGTTCCATCGTCGGATGACCTACATAAATCATAAAAGTTAGATTATTAACACTACAATGATGTACATGTGTGTAAAATAATGAAGAAATTAGTAGAACCCCACCCCCCTAAAAAAATGAAAAGAGGTCTGAAGTTGAGGATGTGATCACAGACACGGATCTATACAAAGGCAAGTGGATACAGCAATGTAAACAATGGTAAGCAGCATCTAAACTTGTGGGAATGAGGAAACAATGCAATAGATTATCAGTTGCTAAGAAAACAGATGCAAATACAGTAGAGCTCTTGATTTACAGAACTTGATGACAAACAAATGACATGGGGATGGCACCATTCTGATACGAAGTTGAAATTAAAAGGTTTTAAATATTGAGGAAAGGAAAGAAAAGAAAGACTTTGAAAAATGATTTTATTCATATTGTAATGAGTTTCAATTTGATAATAACTTGATAAACATGAGGTATTAACCCTTATTTATACCAATACTGGACTCTTAATCCTAAAGAACAAATAACTTCCAAAAGATAAGATAAATCCCTAAGAATAAGGATCCTAGAAGACAGATTTAAGATGTGATAAGTTATTATATAATATATGAACAAGATAGCATAAAATACTTTTCATATATTCGAACAGAAAAACTAAGTATAGTTGAATTTATTATAAATAAATAATTAATCTGCACAAGAATGAAATCATGAAATATGTTTGTCACATGACAGGTGAATCTAAAAAACATACAAACTTTGTAACTCATTTGGAATGGGGCAAAGAGATTCAATGTCATGCAAAGGAGTATGTTAAATTCACAACATTAGTCTTAGAGAATGAGCTTTAAGTCTAACTCAACATCATAAAAATGAGCTTGTAAGTGAAATTTACACTGACTTATATATTATAATTTAGTTATACCTTTAATTGATGTGAAATCTCTAACAATTATTATTTAGTAAAATAATAAATATCCAAACAAAACACTTGGTTTAACAAATAAAAAATAGTAAAGATTTTTGTATGACACAGAACATGACCTTAGCAACTGTTTTACAATTCAATTATGTATGAATGAAATAAATAGATTAACATCAAGACTTATCTATTGAGTCTCAAGAATCACTAGGACAATGTATAGAAAGGCAACAATAGGCCTAACTCCTAAACTTACGATAGCAGCTGGTATACAACACTGGGACTAAAAGTAATAGTATTAACAGCTCCTGTATGTCCCCGCAAAACTGATATTGGCATCCCATCTGGTAATCGCCACTGTTGTAAAGCAAATGTCAACTTAGATGCCCAAGGTTTGCATGACAACATACAAATTAAGCTATACTACTTACAACTCTAATGACAAAATCATTTGAAGCAGATGCCACCAAAGCATTGTTTGAGCTTACAGCCAAGTCAGTAATATCACCCTTCAGTTTAATAACAACAACATCAGATGAAATGATAATAAAAGGAAAACACTTGTCAAAATTACTTCCATAAACTATATTTTTTACTCACTTCATGTCCACGGCAACTAGCTAAGCAAAATGCAGTTTCCATAGACCAAATCTTGACAAGACGGTCATCGGAACCACTAATAACAAATCTCCCTGATCCGTCAAATATGGCTGCAAGGTAAAATCATTTTTTAAAAATTTATAAACCGTTAGTCCATCTATGAATGTAATGACTTATATGCATCTAAGTTCATAAAAAATCAACATTTAACTTCATAAGGAAACTCTAAGAAGAGAAAGCAACAATTATACTATAAAAATATTGGAATCAACTCTTATTGGTGTCATGTGATGCACATCTAAGTAGTGACTTTCATAAGAATAACTGAACATGAACTCAGATAATCCAGCTGCATAAAGTCACCATATTAATGGTAAGTTTAGAAGAAGAGCAACACATACCACAATAGACAGCCACACGATGCCCCCTTAGTTTTTTAATATTTTGCATTTTTTGCACCATAGTAGATGGTTTGGCAATAGCATAACATGCACTACGAATAGATGGAGCACGATGGTGTTTTGTAAAACCACCTCCAATCTCCCTTAAACTTAGCCCTTGAACCTGATTAGCCTTCATGTGAGGCCAGCGCATGTAAAGTGGAGGGCTCTTCACAAGCTTGTCAGCTGTTTTTCTATCACCTGTACATACACAGGAATAAAAATAGAGTAAATATCCCATTCCTCCACTTATCTATTTTGTGATTAATGTTGGGGCATGGCCAACTACAGCAACTTCCAGACATATTTAAATCCAACTTTGTTAATACAAGCTTCAGACCAGAACAACATTTGTCAAAAGGGAACACCAGGAAGAAATTTTAAACTGTAGACAACTACCTAATCAAGTTTTTAAATGTTTGGGATCTTGGACCTTCACATTTTAAACATGCTAATGACTACTTGCCACACAATGATGACATTGTATATGCTAGTACCAATCTTGGTGCAGAAGACCAAGGATGGCAACTGTAAACCGTGTACATATATAGAAGCAAACATAATTACGTAAGATTCATGTCTTCAATCAATTATCAATTTTATCAAAGCATATAAATCAAAACAGGGTTTGATACATACCCACTCCTAACCTTTAAAGAAAGCCCTAACATATGAATCATTGCCTTGAGAATATTTCAAATAACTAACAGAAACTCATTAATAAATGTGTATAAATTGCATATTCATTAAATTCATATAATAGACTGAAATTGCAGACATTATTTNATACAAGGTGCTACCAGTTTAATATACTTAAGTATACAAAAAATGTATAATTTGCAGGTTAAAATTTCCCTGCTACAGTATTTCTTTTAGCAAGTACATTACCCATAATAGCTGCAAGCACAAAGCGATTGTCCAGACTCCATATAATCATATTAACACCACGAGGAGTAGGTAGCAATCTCTGCCTTGGACCACCTCGTGGAGGTTGGGGAGGCAGCGGTGGTGGTGGCACTTTTAGATGATATGCACGAGTCCAACGTCCTACTTTTCCCTGAAACAGAAGAGGAAAACATATTTAACATGGAAAGCAAAGGGGGAAATGAACCTACTCATGCAACATAGATCCCCAAAACAATTCTGGAAAAGAAAATGTCTTCAAGAATAAAAATAGACCAAAATTCAATGGTAATCCAATTAAAGGAGCTCACATGAGATTTCCGTGATCTGGGAACCCATATAATTGCACTTCCATCACGAGAGCAGGTAACTATGTTATCATGACAATACCTGAAATATCATGACATAGGTATGCAACATATATTTAGTAATGAGAGAAGGGGAGTTGTTACATTAAATGAAACTAACCAGGGTAGAAAAAATTATAGCAAGCGCTAGCATATACCAGAAATTTCGAAACTTCAGTGTATTTTCTTCTTTCCAGGGGTCAGATGTTAAAATTTTTGAAGCCACAGAGCAACCACTGCATGCAGAATAGCAAAGATAATAAGGATCATTACAAAGCAAAACAAACAACCATAGATCTAGCTGGGATGGCTAACCTAAACTGTACATAATTAACATCATTTTCGTGACCAGATAATAAATCCATCTCATGTATTGGTTGTTCTGAGTCATCAGTGCTGGGCTTCATCGCACTCCACACCTGCAAATTGCAGTAATTTTCAACATAGCATAGAAGCGATATTAAATAAGCTAATAGTATTCCTGAGAGAAAATAGGAAATTTGTGAAGAGCACACCAATAAACCTACCCTGGCAAAAGTATCAGAGCTACCAGTAACAAAAACAGTTCCATTAGCATTATATGCACAACAAAGTACTTGATAGCTTTGTTGACCATTGCTTGAGGATGGCAAACTAGCTGGTGGAGCATTGCTCTTCCCTGAAAAAGTTTATAATTCCTCAATAAATAATAACCTAATAACAAAAAAGTAATTATTTCAGTCAGCAGGTCAGACTACTGATCTGGAAGGTTTAAGTAACAAGTCATCCATTTGACCTAAACTCGCATAGTTTGACTTGAACAAGATTTGATAATTCCATCCATTATTCCAAGTGTAGTGTTTATTTAAACAAACGTGTTGAAATATAAAAAGATCTTTTTTTATTTTTATATTGGATTTAGATTATAATAGAATATAACTTATCCAACTTAAAAACTGAATAGATTGTACCACCATATCAAATTTAATATGGTAAAAAATGCAAAACTCAGCCACTTCCAATTCCATGCCTGTTCTGTTAACAGAAATATAAGCAATTAACTGACCATTTATAGCATCTGGAGGCCGAGGCACATATATTCGGGGATTGTGTGAGTTCCTTGCATCCCATATTCTACAAGTTCCATCGTCGGATGACCTACATAAATCATAAAAGTTAGATTATTAACACTACAATGATGTACATGTGTGTAAAATAATGAAGAAATTAGTAGAACCCCACCCCCCTAAAAAAATGAAAAGAGGTCTGAAGTTGAGGATGTGATCACAGACACGGATCTATACAAAGGCAAGTGGATACAGCAATGTAAACAATGGTAAGCAGCATCTAAACTTGTGGGAATGAGGAAACAATGCAATAGATTATCAGTTGCTAAGAAAACAGATGCAAATACAGTAGAGCTCTTGATTTACAGAACTTGATGACAAAAAAATGACATGGGGATGGCACCATTCTGATACGAAGTTGAAATTAAAAGGTTTTAAATATTGAGGAAAGGAAAGAAAAGAAAGACTTTGAAAAATGATTTTATTCATATTGTAATGAGTTTCAATTTGATAATAACTTGATAAACATGAGGTATTAACCCTTATTTATACCAATACTGGACTCTTAATCCTAAAGAACAAATAACTTCCAAAAGATAAGATAAATCCCTAAGAATAAGGATCCTAGAAGACAGATTTAAGAAGTGATAAGTTATTATATAATATATGAACAAGATAGCATAAAATACTTTTCATATATTCGAACAGAAAAACTAAGTATAGTTGAATTTATTATAAATAAATAATTAATCTGCACAAGAATGAAATCATGAAATATGTTTGTCACATGACAGGTGAATCTAAAAAACATACAAACTTTGTAACTCATTTGGAATGGGGCAAAGAGATTCAATGTCATGCAAAGGAGTATGTTAAATTCACAACATTAGTCTTAGAGAATGAGCTTTAAGTCTAACTCAACATCATAAAAATGAGCTTGTAAGTGAAATTTACACTGACTTATATATTATAATTTAGTTATAACTTTAATTGATGTGAAATCTCTAACAATTATTATTTAGTAAAATAATAAATATCCAAACAAAACACTTGGTTTAACAAATAAAAAATAGTAAAGATTTTTGTATGACACAGAACATGACCTTAGCAACTGTTTTACAATTCAATTATGTATGAATGAAATAAATAGATTAACATCAAGACTTATCTATTGAGTCTCAAGAATCACTAGGACAATGTATAGAAAGGCAACAATAGGCCTAACTCCTAAACTTACGATAGCAGCTGGTATACAACACTGGGACTAAAAGTAATAGTATTAACAGCTCCTGTATGTCCCCGCAAAACTGATATTGGCATCCCATCTGGTAATCGCCACTGTTGTAAAGCAAATGTCAACTTAGATGCCCAAGGTTTGCATGACAACATACAAATTAAGCTATACTACTTACAACTCTAATGACAAAATCATTTGAAGCAGATGCCACCAAAGCATTGTTTGAGCTTACAGCCAAGTCAGTAATATCACCCTTCAGTTTAATAACAACAACATCAGATGAAATGATAATAAAAGGAAAACACTTGTCAAAATTACTTCCATAAACTATATTTTTTACTCACTTCATGTCCACGGCAACTAGCTAAGCAAAATGCAGTTTCCATAGACCAAATCTTGACAAGACGGTCATCGGAACCACTAATAACAAATCTCCCTGATCCGTCAAATATAGCTGCAAGGTAAAATCATTTTTTAAAAATTTATAAACCGTTAGTCCATCTATGAATGTAATGACTTATATGCATCTAAGTTCATAAAAAATCAACATTTAACTTCATAAGGAAACTCTAAGAAGAGAAAGCAACAATTATACTATAAAAATATTGGAATCAACTCTTATTGGTGTCATGTGATGCACATCTAAGTAGTGACTTTCATAAGAATAACTGAACATGAACTCAGATAATCCAGCTGCATAAAGTCACCATATTAATAGTAAGTTTAGAAGAAGAGCAACACATACCACAATAGACAGCCACACGATGCCCCCTTAGTTTTTTAATATTTTGCATTTTTTGCACCATAGTAGATGGTTTGGCAATAGCATAACATGCACTACGAATAGATGGAGCACGATGGTGTTTTGTAAAACCACCTCCAATCTCCCTTAAACTTAGCCCTTGAACCTGATTAGCCTTCATGTGAGGCCAGCGCATGTAAAGTGGAGGGCTCTTCACAAGCTTGTCAGCTGTTTTTCTATCACCTGTACATACACAGGAATAAAAATAGAGTAAATATCCCATTCCTCCACTTATCTATTTTGTGATTAATGTTGGGGCATGGCCAACTACAGCAACTTCCAGACATATTTAAATCCAACTTTGTTAATACAAGCTTCAGACCAGAACAACATTTGTCAAAAGGGAACACCAGGAAGAAATTTTAAACTGTAGACAACTACCTAATCAAGTTTTTAAATGTTTGGGATCTTGAACCTTCACATTTTAAACATGCTAATGACTACTTGCCACACAATGATGACATTGTATATGCTAGTACCAATCTTGGTGCAGAAGACCAAGGATGGCAACTGTAAACCGTGTACATATATAGAAGCAAACATAATTACGTAAGATTCATGTCTTCAATCAATTATCAATTTTATCAAAGCATATAAATCAAAACAGGGTTTGATACATACCCACTCCTAACCTTTAAAGAAAGCCCTAACATATGAATCATTGCCTTGAGAATATTTCAAATAACTAACAGAAACTCATTAATAAATGTGTATAAATTGCATATTCATTAAATTCATATAATAGACTGAAATTGCAGACATTATTTTCAGTTTATGCTTTAATGACTTGCGATCTTAGCTTGAATGATCAAGAAAAAGATTACTGTAACTTATCACGTACTGTCAAGAAGCGAAAATGAACCATATCCAAGTAAAGTAGGAACATCAACTGCATTAGGACTACTTCCTCCAAGTTTTCCATGCAAAGGATGGACCGTACTCAGCATCAATTGTTTCAGAAGCTTTACTAAGTGATCCTTAGTTATATGAGGATACCTAGTAATAAAAAAAAAGATGAACAATAATTAAGACTTAGGTGATATCAAACAGCAGCTAAGAGAAAAGATTTCAGAACCAAATAAGAAAACATATTTGGATTAAAATATGAAGCATTCTCTATTGGAAAGTAATCTCTAGATGGAGATACCTCTAAGAGTATTAATCAGACACTTCCAAAATAATTTTATGTTCGTTTTCTATTTTTAAAACAAACAATTCCAATATACCAAAATTCAAATAAATAAAAATTCTCTCTAAATGCTTAATAGCAATAAACATTTAAGTATACTGACATTGACCATAAAATTTGGCAGCCTTTTTTTAAATGATAATCATTCATATGCACTTAAAGGTCAAGTGATAACCCATCTAACTGAGAGTAGCAGTCAACTGTCAACCCTTCAGAGATAACTATAGTACAGAGTATCAAAGTACCACTAAATGTTGAAGTTTAACACTTTGACTCACGAAAATACAGGTTTATTTACTTTATATGTATATTTACTATATCTGTATTTATTCTCCAAGGAGATCTTGATGAGAAGGTATACATGGAGGAACCTCTGGGATTTACTGTTCAAGGGGAGTTGTTTGATAAGGTGTCATCTTCACAGGTCCATTTATGGCCTTAATACGGCTTGGGTGTTTTTGTGTTGTCATCCAGCAATTTGGAATGACACGAAGTAAAGTTGAACATTCATTATTTTAACATTATTTTTCCCATGGATGCATCTACCTAATTGTTTATGTGATAAGGAGGGTATAATCTATCCAAAACAATCTTGTTCAGAAGTTCCAGAAAAAAGAGCTTGGTAAATTGTGGTACTTCCTTGGTATTGAAGTTGTTCAATCCAAGGGTGGTTTGGTCAAACTGCAGAGGAAATATGCTCTAGACATTTTGGTAGGCATACCAATGGACCCAAGTATCAAACTAGTACCACACCAAAGAGAGTTGAATTCAAATCCTAAAAGGTACAAATAGTTAGTTGGTAAACTAAATTATCACATTGTGACTTGCTTGACATTGCCTTTGAAGCGAGTGTAGTAAGTCAAATTATGAACTTTTTTCTGTCAAGACCATTGGGATGCAGTTGTATGGATCATAAGATATATCCAAAATAAATACCCCTAGCATTATTTATGAAGATAAAGGGAGTCCTCAAATTGTTGGATATTATAATGTTGATGTATAGGTTCACCTAGGATATATGCTCTATTTCTAGGTATTGTGTTCCTGTTGGGGGAGATTTAATATCATAGAAAACCAGGAAACAAAAATGTTGAGCCAAAATCAAGTGTAGAAGCAAAATACAAGGTATGGTTTTAGTCACCTTTGAGCTCATATGGCTAGAGCAACTGCTCAAAGAGCTTAAATTGAATAAAATTCCAAAACTGACCTCATATTAGACAACCATATAGCATTACGTATTGTCTTTGATCTTATCTTTTATGAATGAACCAAAATTGTCATTTCATAAGAGCAAAGGTGGAGTCTAAGAATACCATCACTAGATTTGTAAATGAAAGTGAATAGTTGGCAGACATATTAGAAAGGGATCAAGGACCAATCATAGCTGCAACCTAATCATATGACTTGTATGATCCATCTTGAAAGGAAGTGTTATAATTATGGATCTTTACAAAATAAGGTGTAGATATTCATAATCAAGAATATATTTGCATTATTAGGAACATAATTATTATTTCTAGTATCATACCTTTATTATTAGAGTACATCAAATCTCCTCAATTTTTTGTATTTATTCCGTTTTCTCAATATAAATGAGGCACTCGTACTGTCACAAAACATACAATTTCAGCTCAATGTCTCTCTATTTCTATGAACATATGCACGAAGCAAGTTCACAAGGATATAGCATATAAAATTTTAAAAGAGTCTTTTCAATGTAAACAAGTATATGCACCAAACTATGATCACCTTATCACAACATCTTCCACTTCAAAAAACATGTTTTGTTACAATTTTCTATCACTTGAAAAATTAAGAAAATAGTATAATGTTTTTCTAATTTTATCATTTGGTAGCTCCACTAAATAGTTGAGAGACTGCATTAATGAAGTGATCATACTTTGAGACTTTTGGGCCTTTAGGGGTGGTTGCAAGTTTTAGGTTTTGGGTTTTCAAAACAAAAACATGTTTGACAAAAATGAAGCTGAAATTGCTTTTAACTCTATTTCAAAACACTTTTACATTCATTTTCAAAACTAAAAAAAAAAATATTTGTAAATTTGGTTTATTGTTTAACAAAAATACATAATTGCTACCCATGGCAAATAGCCCTTCTCATCATCATCACGTGCACTGCAACCACCATTTAAAAATACCTTTAAACTAATTTAACAATTAAAGAAAATTTTAAACTAATTTATTTTGAGATCAAAAAATTTATAGAGAAAAAACTAATTATCAAAAACTAAAATTTATTTTTTTAAATATGAAAACTGATAGTAGTTTTTTAAATCTAAAAGCTTACAACTACAAACCATCCCAAAAGGACCTTTAACTTATAAGTAGCTTGTTCAAACAAAACTACAATCTCTTATTGTAATTAACCATATATAATAACCTTCTTAATCCCAGAGTATAATCTTAAACAACATATATTTTGGAACTTAGGGAATAAGTATGTTTCTCGTTTACTGATATAATGGAAGAAAAAACGAGCTCAGGCTGATATAATACATGTTTCTGGTAGAAGTTAAAAAACATACTAAAAGTGGATCATCTTTCAACATGAAGTGTAACGAAATTTAACTTCCCATTTTACCAACATCTTGCCCCGGTAAAAAAGTATCTATATTGAAAAACTATGCATAAAAAGTACAATCTCACATGGTAATAAAATCTCTAAATATAAAGCAAAAAATACCTGCCCACTAAATTGCTATAATCTAAAGGTAAAGAGAAGCCATCGTCATCTTCTTCGGCATCATCCCCTCCGAGGTCACCACTTCTTGAAAACCAAGCATGATATCTTCTGGGTAGAAGTTGATGCTCTAAAAGTTCTTCCTTAAAATGTAGAAAAGTTCGCCTACATGGTCCCGCAGACAAAAAGTGCATGATTAAAAAGTAAACCTCCCTAAGGTCTATATCCAGATCAGTCGGAACAACTCCCACATCCCCAGGGGGCGCCACCATTTGATCCACCTTATTTGAAACACTTAAATGTGCAACACTAAGCGAAGATGCACGACAAGAAGATTTGCCCTTCCGAGAATCCATGTTTCTAAAACACCCTGCACATAAAAAACTACAGTGCATAAAATGTCCTGAATAAGCTACAAACTCCAAAACCAATCCCTGAAAAACAGCAGCATACATACATTGTGCACTATTGCATCGTCACATCGTACAACACAAACTTCGGCTTAACAATATGACATCACCACATCATTCCACACAAACTATGGATTAACAAGAAACCTATCCGTTATAAATCTAAATTGAATTGAATTCAAAACAAGCGTCACTCTTCTAGTTCTCCTGCATGTATGGCAACGGAGAGAGTAATTGATTAAGGTAAAACCTAACCGACGTCTAATCAGTCTCGATTTAACATTTAGTAGAAGCAAAGATTTAAAAGGAACTGGCAAGTCGCAAGTCGACGACGCCTGGGAGCTCGCGCAAAGCGAAAATAAAAGAAAGCGAAACAGTAAACTGAATAAACAAAAGTAACTGAAAATCCTAAAGAGGAAGATAGACCTCGAAAACGGTTGAAGTTGCAGCTGCGAAGAGGGGTTGCACTTCAAAAGCCGCATGCAGATTGAAGAATGAGGGCAGAATCTGAAACCGAAAGGTGTTATTTATTTACGAGGTGGAACGGGCACTGTTCTCAAGAAAGGGTTCGGGAGTGTAATTCGATTGAAGATACAATTCCAAAAATGCAAATCCAGAAACTGCAAGAAAATTAATCGAACTTCCACCACCACTGACCTCTTCTGTTACGATGGATTTGGTGCAAGTGATTAACTAGGTCTTGCACTTGCAAGGGGATGGAAAAGGAAGAAAGGAAAGGATAAATCCCTTTCGAATTGGGGCTCTTGTTTCCGAAGCAATCTTGCGGTGTTTCTTGGGTGTCCGCGACGGAGCCGGGAAGAGAGCCGAATGAAACTTCAGGGGATTTTATTTACATAAAATTTGGAAGGATTTTATAAAAATATTAATTTCAAGAAATTACGTTCAAATAAGGTACGAAAATATAACTCGCTCACTGTATCTTGCAACAGACCAAATAGGTCAAAATAAAATCTCGAGTCTTGAGAAGTTAACGAGATTTTGAGAATTCGGGGTACTGCGGAGATATGCTCTCGAATCGTTTGCTTTAAATGACAAATGTACCCCTACGTGTCGTCTGTTTTGATTTATTTTCAGCAATAATCACTTCAAAAAAGTTATTACGTAACAGAATTTTTTTCAGAATAAGTTAATTAAACTATACGACATCATCTTATTATAATATAATAGAGAATATAAAACAAGTAGAACGTAATAATATGTACTTAAACAAAATTTTCAACAATAGCATTAAAATACATTCATTTATAAACAAATTACTTAATATTGATTTTTACTACATTTTTAAGAAAATAGATTAAGTTTAAAAATATTATTTCAACATATATCATAATATCATAATATCATAATATCATATATATATATATATATATATATATATA